CTGCATTTCCTTTTTTTCCATTTCAGAGCTTTTTCCTTTTCCCTGAGGATCAGTCCTCAGAGGTCTATATAGTACCATTTGGCTGATTACAAAAATATCTCATCCTTTTCTTTTTTTTTATTATTCATTTGGTCAAGAAAAGCTCTTCATTTTCCCTAAGTTTCTACAAGAGTTTAAAATTTATATTTAATTCTATGTTCACACATATTTCCAGTTAGAACCATGAAGATCTATTTCCTTCATCTTCTGGTTTTCACCACTTCTTTTTAAGAAATAGGTTGTCAGTCTTACTGTTATTTTCTTGAATGCACTATGTTCTTATAATTTCTCTTTGTCTTTTGGTTTCATTATGGTTAACATTTTCTATTTATTCTTTTAAGAATTATTCTTTTTAAAATGTATTCTTCATGAAACTTGTAACACCCTATGAATTTACAGCTTAATGTTTTTCAACAATTTTAGAAAAATTTCAGCTGTGTCTTTTCAAATATTTTGGCAACATTATTCATTTTCTATTTTCTTTCTGGAATTGTCATTATATTAAATGTATATTACACTTTAACACTGTGTCCTTTATACCTCTTTCATATTATTCTCTGCATTTACTTTATTGCTCTCAGCCTGGGTCTGCATATCTTTTTCTACTCTTCTAATTTGCTAATTCTCTGTTTATCAGTGTCTAATATGCTGTTAAAGCCCATCATTCGGTTTTTAATTTCATTTGTTATATATTTTATTATAGTTTTCATATTTATTATCTGCCTTGTGTTTTAATTTTTGTATATATAAGCTTATTTTAAAATGCTTGTTTTTATTATTCGAATCATCTACGTCTGTTATTATTCCTCTTGCCTTTCAATCAGGCCTTGTCTTCTCCTATATTTTGTTATTTTTAAGTGACAGATTTGATATATAAAAGGCTGTCAAATGACTCAAGACTTTTTATGATGTTTTCTTATTTAAGAGAGTATTTCCAAGGCCTGGCATGGTGGCTCACACCTCTCATGCTACCACTCTGGGAGGCTGAGGCAGTCAGATCATTTGAGCTCAGTAGTTTTAGACCAGCCTGAGCAAGAGCAAGACCCTGTCTATACTAAAAAATATATAGAAAGAAATTAGCTGGACAACTAATATATATATATATATACATATATATATATACACATCTATATAAATATATATATTTATAAAAATTAGCCGGGCATGGTGGCGCATGCCTGCAGTTCCAGCTATTTGGGAGGCTGAGGCAGAAGGATGGCGTGAGCCCAGGAGTTTCAGGTTGCTAGGAGCTAGGCTGATGCCATGGCACCCTACTCAGAGTGACAGAGTGAGACTTTGTCTCAAAAAAAAAAAAAAAAAGGAGAGGAATTCCTGTGTGTTTCTGCCTGACAACTAGGATTGCAGAAGTAAAGACCCCAGATAACATTAATTCAATCAAGAAATTAGATGATTTAAGCTGGGCTTGATTTCCTTTGAGGACCACTCTATGGTGTATTCTCCGCCAATACTCCGCTGTGTATTCCCTCTTTGAGGGCTTTACTCCAAGAGTAAAGCCCTCAAATGTTCTCAGATGAAAGCCTGGCTGTTGAAAAAGGAACCTCCTCCTTGGTAGACCTTGAATTTCACTTGTCCTTCAGAGTAAAGCAACTATAAAACGGCCCCCCCAGCTTTTCAGTCTTCCATTTTTGGCTTTTAGAATTATCCTATACTTTTAGAGAAAAGAGACCCCACATGCAGAGTCAAGCTCTCTGACTTTCCTTCAAAACAGTGGTTCCATTGATCCTTTCTGCCTTGCTAGTTTTTAAAGTACTTTCAAGCTCATGCATATTACATTTTTCTAGCTCCCCTTGTCGTTCTTAGTTGGAGTTTTGGGGTAAAATGAAACATTTTTGCTAGATGTATATTTGACTTTCTAGGTTGGCTATAGAAACTGGTTATACAGAATTCCTGTGGACTGTGGCATATTTTGAGGCAACATCTACATCAGTTAATAATTTCCATGCATTTTTTTTGGAGTAAATAAATGTAGATTCTAAGCTGTTCTGGACATCATCTGATCTAGCAAACACCTTTGCCTCATAAGAAGAAAACATTAGTAGTTTCTTGAGTTCAGCTGAAGAAGACAGGGAGAATGATGCCTTATGCATATATTAGCTCTTCCTCCTTGAGTCATATTTAATCCACAGTAACCTTGACCACATAAGATAGTTCTTCAGAATTAAAATATACTTGTACATCTTTTCACACTTACCAAGAGTGAGACATTGAGCTTAGATGTGCTCTTTAAGTCTCACATATATTAAATAGGATATTTGGGTTTCCTGGATTCAATCCATTTATTACATAAGTTAAAAATTGTCTACTTTGAGTGGATAAAGATATTTAACTGATTCATATAATTATTTATGTGACTTTTTATCTAAGACCCTCATGACACAGAAGATCTAATATTTAATTAAATATATGATGAGATAACCATATGCAATGGAGCCAATGACATCCATAATTAAGGAAATAACAGTGGAAATTCTTAGGGGCTGTTCCTGTGTTGGAAAATAACAGTCTCTGTTTTTGTAGAAACAAATACTGAATTGAAATTAGACTAAAATGAAGGATTGAGTTAATGAACTAAATATCACTATTGCTACATCAGACACAGATGTGGACCTCGGTCAATAGCTTCTGTCTCAACCTAAAATTGTAGAACTAAGATTATACCTATCTTTCCAAGATTTACAATATCAACTAAGGTCTAGGGCTCTCTGTCTTTGAGCTTCAGGGCTTCTTGGGTGGAGATTTTCTAATAGATAAAACCCTCCCTTCCTGGGACATGGTTGGGGAAGGAAACTTGGGCTGCTTCCACTTTCATTCCTGTGTAAATATTACTTGACTTACCTAAACATTTCATAATGTGAAACTCATAATTTATTTTCAATTTACTTTAGATGTTTTCTTTTAACATTATAGGCTTTTCACAACCTTGGCATTCAGATACTTTTTCTTGGCAAGACCAAAGGCTTTTTCCTTTAGGGATTGTTCTAGGGAAGAAAACTGTTCAGAGAGATTACTTCATCTGAATTTGTTCCAAATATTCTAATTAACTCATATGTGATGACCTTACAGTCTCTTTCATTTAAAAGAGTGATGATTTGAAAAGTCATAAACTATGTCAGCACATATAAATGGAAAAATGATGCTCCTGATAATTTAACCCAAAAGATTTCTGAAAACTCGATTTTTATCAAAAGCAGGAGTATATGTCCAGTTGGAATCTATTCCTATAGCTGTGATGTTTTCCTGTTATATCCATCATTGCTTGTATACATTTGTGGAAGGTTTATATTTCCTGGGATGAGACTGGGAAGATAGAGGGAGATACTTTTAATTAGTAAAGCAGTGGTCATAGGGGCATGCTATTTGAATGACTGAAAAACTAACGACTGTTTCTTCTTGTGAGAAAGTTCTGCTGTTGGCTTTTCTAAGATGTTAGATCACAGCATTTGCCTTGTTAGGTCCAGAAGTTAGTAGCTAAGGAGATGAGTGTTATAATAAATGCTCAATCAAAGTAAAGTGCTTTTTTGTTTATTTCATCATAATTGAGAACAGAAAAATTCAGTAACTTTAGTGTTGATAAATTTGTTGCATATTTGTGCCACCAAATAATGGATCTGGCCATGTTAATTTCCACTAATTAGGTCAATAACGTCAATTTTTACCTAGTCATACAAAGGTAGCATCTCTGCCTTTCTATGAATGATTTTTTGTCATCAGGTGAAAATATTCAACTAGCTTTGTACAGTAAATATTGGTATTATGTTTAAGTGACTTGTCTTTATACTTTAGGCACATGCTTTGGATACTTCTACATCTCTCAGAAACAATTAGATAATAGGTAGCCTATGTAGAAATATGGAAACTGTAGCCACTTGAATCTACTTATAGATTCATTCATCTTCCACATATTATCATGTGTTCCATGAACACACATGGATGCTTGAGGTATCTACAATTACAGTAACTGAAAGAAGCATTGATTTTTTTCTGACCAAAGACAAGACCCAAGATGTGAGTTCTTGAACAGACATGGGATACTCATTGAAAATTCCTGTTATGTGTTAAAATATACTGATGTCTCAAATATCATGTTTCCATTGGAGAAATCTGAATTGGAAACACAGACATTAATCAGAATATACAAAGTGTATTTATTTTAATATACGGCCTGATAGGTGCTTCCTTTCCATTTTGCCAAATAAAAAAAGAAAAATACATTGCATGTTATGTGTATAACACATAAACAAATGGATTATAATCTCAGTTTTGGGCACATGATATTTTACATGATGTATTATTAACAAAGCAGTAGAATTATTTTAGATATATATATAAATTAGGGAATTTAAAATTGTATATCATACAAAACATGTAGAGTGTAAAGAAACAAATGCCTATTATGTTCCAGAAGGAAGATATGAGCTTTTCAGATATGTAGGAATCAAAAATTATTCAAGCAGATATGTAAGTATGTGTGTATATATGTATATGAAGAAATCTTTGCTCAGGGAAGTACCTTGTCTACTGTCATTTAGAAAGATCTACAAGACTGTAATTTAAAAATACTATGGAGAGTATTTTCTAACATAAGAATTTATCTTTTAAAATGTCATGTCCTTAAGAAGCTATGTTAAAGTATTTTTCTTCTATAAAATCGTTAACTTACTGTTTTAAGTTGAAATCCTAGTAATATTATCTTTTGGATTTTAGAGTATTAAATACTTGATGACTTAAATTTTAGACTATAGTTTATGTACCTGATTTTTATAAGTAAAAGTTAACAGTAAAATTGCCCATAGAAGATGTATCCTGGAGAAATATGTCATTGATGATTAAAGAGAGAAAAAGCACAAAACCTTGTAGAAATTGAGGTGTGGATAAAAATAGAGAAGTGGATACAGATGACTTTTTGCAGTTGTGTTCATTGACAATTATGCCTTTTTCAGTCCATGGCTTCAAAATTGACGTAACTCCTGAATTATGTGAGATGTGTAGAATGTCATCACAACAAGCTTCTAGAGAGAGCTCGAACTCTTCATACATCAAACGTCCCCCACTGCCAAATCCATGTAAATGGAATCATCTTGTCTACATGGGAGGTTTATCAATTCTGTAATTTCCTCAGCAGTGAATAATAAAAAATTCAGGTTTGTATCAATATTTGTCCCATTCTTATTGTCCTTAACCATAAAATCTAGAAACATTAGGAAGTCAAAGACTTCTTCTGGAATTTTGAAAAATGTTCTTTACTGGGATCCGGTCTGCATTTATTTGTCACGGATGCCCCATGAAGCCTCCTGTGTATCTCCAGACACCCTCAGAGGGTTGGGCTCCTAGTACTTCTGAACTGAAAGAAATCTTTCTGAAGAAGAGTTTTAAAAGAACAGTAGCCTCACTTAATTATCACATTAACATTCTTATTATTTGTGGACATTCATTTATTAACTGTAATTTCTCTGTTTCCCAATTTGATCTTTCCTTTCTTTTCGTTTTCTACCACGTAGCTTCCCTTCTGGTGATGGGTCCAACTTTCTCCGTATTATTCTGCATGCTTCTCGTCAAAGTCCATCCCAGCACAGGTATAATTACTACTCACATATAATTAGCTAGGTAATTCCTAATATATATAATCTTATTATATTCCTGGAAAGAAATTAATGAGTATGGGTGAACTATTCATTTTACCATGGACTATTTATATAATTCTTTTCATGTTGACCAAGATGTAGATGATTTGTTCTGACCGAATGTTCACGGTGACGAATTCAAAAACACTAATAATAGCTCTCCTTTATGGAGGCTTTACCAGGTGCCGGGCACTGTTCTAAGCACTTTACTTTACTATAATACAAAAACAACCCTAAGAGGGTTATCACAACTTTGGATAAGGATTTGATGGGTATCCTTATTCTAAAAACGATGACACTGAAGCACAGAGAGGTTTCTTAAAGGGCTCAAAGTCACATAGTAAGTGGTGATGCTGGGATTGTGGCAGAGGCAGTGTGGCCCCAGAGTACACATTATTCACTACTGTGCTGTCCTCTCTCTCCAAGACTGTTCTGGATCTTAAATAGGTACACCCTGAAGAGAAACTGAGAGTCATTATTTGAGTACTGTAATGATTAAAATCCCATTTGCCACAGGCTTACATTTTGCAAGGAACAGTTATAATCTGGAAAATTGCTATTTTATTATAAAAAAGAGAAAAATGAAAAAAAAATGTCAGCAGCATAGAATAAAGTAGGGCTGCATTGAGAATATCATAGTCAGTTCAATAGAAAGGATTCTGAGATTGTCTAGTTCAATCTAATTATTTTCCAATGAGCAAACTTAGACAGGTTTGTAATTACATTTAGAAAATGATTTAAACCCATGTATTCTTACATTAAGCTTGCAATTATCATTGAGTTGTTTTTTTGTTGTTGTTGTTGTTTTTTTGCAATCAGAACACAAAAGTTCTATTTTTGAGCACTCTCAGTGCCTAAACACCATTATAAATAACCCCTGTCCCACTGATCTTTACTTCTTTTTCAGTGTCTATTTTCTCCTCCCTTACTACCTACCTCACCTAAAGAGTTTTGAAAAACTGCCAGCAGTTACTGTGTTGGTTGGTGATAGGCATGAGTTAGTTCAGTTCAGTGAAGAATTACTTGCTGAAAATCAGAATAGTGTATGTGAATGTGATAGGAATTGTACTAGAAGTAAAGAGGAAATGAACAGAATTGCAGCTTCTTAAAAAGCAGGCAATTCTAGTCAGAACAAAAAATAATGTCCTAAATAATTTTGACGTTATTTGAGTCAGTTCAAAGTCCAGTAGCTTGATATCTATTATATATTCATGAAGATAGAATACCCTTTCAGGCATGAAGTATCAAAGATATGACACTGGATTAACATAGCATTGAGGGAGATATTTCAGAAGAGAATATGTTGGTGTTACACAGATGATATTGTAAAGATGATATTGTAAAGATTTTGTAAAGATATACAGCTGCTACAAATTTAAAGGAAAGACTCTAAGTGAATTTATTTATTTAAAGTTTATTGTCATCACCAGAGAGTAAGTTTCTTGAGAGCCAGAACCCTTTACCTGTTCTTCAGATTACATGTCTTAGTCAAGAGGTAACAATTTTACCTAAGGAGTTAATAAATATGTGACTATTTGGGGGCTTTAAGTATTCTTCTCTATAGAATATCCACTAGGACTTAGAGATGGAAGTTTTACTTGTAGGACTAAAACAAAATCATCTAAGGAAAACTGACTTGTTAAAGGAAGATCTAGTGTGATCTTTAGAAGAAGAACTCAATAGACACTTAGGAAACATACATTGCATGTAAACCAATGTTGAAGGTATGATGATGATGTGCTCCATGACATCATGGATATGTTCATAGTCTTGTTCACAATTTCATTACAGGTGCTGTTCTCCTGTGCTCTCAGCTCTGATGCAAGCCTTACAGAAGAGTAAATGGGAGGGAGTAACAATGTGACAGAATTTGTCCTCCTGGGCCTCACTCAGGATCCTGATTGGCAAAAAACATTATTTGTAATGTTTTTACTCACATACGTTGTGACGATTGTAGGCAACCTGCTCATCATGGTGACTATTATGAGCAGCCCCTCCTTGGGCTCCCCAATGTACTTCTTCCTGGCCTCCCTGTCACTCATGGATGCTGCTTATTCCACTGCCATTTCACCCAAATTGCTTGCAGACCTACTCTGTGATAAAAAGACGATTTCCTTCCAAGCATGCATGGGTCAGCTCTTTATAGAACACTTGTTTGGTGGAGCTGAGGTCTTCCTTCTGGTGGCGATGGCCTATGATCGCTACGTGGCCATCTGTAAGCCTCTGCACTATTTGACCATCATGAATCGACAGGTTTGCATCCTTCTGTTGGTGGTGGCCTGGGTTGGCGGTTTGATGCACTCTATGGTCCAAATTGTCTTTGTGTACAGACTCCCCTTCTGTGGACCCAATGTCATCGACCACTTCGGCTGTGACATGTACCCGTTATTGGAACTTGCGTGCACTGACACCTACTTTATAGGTCTCACTGTGGTTGCCAATGGTGGAGCCATCTGCATGGTCGTCTTTGTCCTTCTACTCATCTCCTATGGAGTCATTCTAAGCTCCCTTAAAAGTTACAGTCAGGAAGGGAGGGGTAAAGCCCTGTCTACCTGCAGCTCCCACATTACGGTGGTTGTCCTCTTTTTTGTTCCATGTATTATCATGTATGTTAGACCTGTCTCCAACTTTCCCATTGACAAATACGTGACTGTGTTTTATACAATTGTCACTCCCATGTTGAATCCTCTAATATATACCTTGAGAAATTCAGACATGAAAAATGCTATGGGAAAACTCTGGTGTAAAAATTTAATTATAGATGGAATATGAATGTCTTTCACAACGAACATGTGTTTTACCAGTTCTAAGGGAACAAACAATAAATTCTAACAATGGGTTAGTCAATTCAATGGATTCACTACAAATTCTTCTGTTTGCTTTTACATCATCATAAAAGTCTAATAAATTATCTTTTCAGATTACAATCAAATAGAAAAGTTTTGCAGGATAAATAAAAGCTTCAGTTATCCTAGTATAATTAAAAATAAAACTTAGCTCACCTTGTAACTTTTTTTTTCTTATTGTAGATTGAGATGGGACCTAGAAGAAAGTGATTTATTCTTTTCAAAGTGGAAATACAAGCTGTTTTTGAAAATTTACTATCATTCTCATTAATGAAAAAGCAATTTGGCTAACACTTAGAACAAATTTCCAGGGCCATAACAGTGGATTTTAAGTTTTATTATTCATTATTCTATCAGTAAGGCAGCTTTCTGTAGCTGTTCCATACATTTTGTCTAAAGATTATTTCTGTTCCACCAGGTAAGTGTCTGTCCATATCTAGTTCAGGACATTTGGATGACATAGGATCCTGTGTTTAGAGAAAGTACTAGTTGACCATTTTGTTGGCTGTAATGTGAATGGTGAAGAAAACATATTCTAGTTCTGAATTACTATATAGATACTCCACCTTCATTTCTTTTTGTGAATTTCTCACTAGCTATTGTGCATTTTTGGCATTCTACAGTAAAGCTTCTTATTTTCTCTTCATGATGCTGAAGATATTGGTAAAAAATGTATTAGTTTGCATAAGCAATATGTTTCCCTAAATGTTGATTTCAATTTAAATACACACTTAAAAATGATTTGTTGTGCTATAATTATTCTTCCAATTTTATAAAAAAAAAAAGTTTTTATCAAACAGCAGCCATCATGCAATAACAGAAACCTGGAAGAATATAAGATCGCTTCCATTGCAATATGGAAAATTACCTATGCTTTGTAAAAATTTACATTTTTAACAAATAAATTTTAGCGTGTATATTTAAGATATACGACATGGTGTTATGGGATACACATAAACAGTAAAAAAGGTTTCTACAGTGAAGCTAATGAATATATCTATCATCTTACATAGTTATCTATTTTTTGTTTGTTTTTGTGAAAAGAGCAGCTAAAATATACTCATTTAGCATAAATTCCAAATACAGTACTATTTTTTTACCTATAGTCCTCAAATTCTATATTAGTCAGAGAATACAAATTAGCAGAAGCAGACAGGAGGATCAATGAATCTAGAGATCTAAAGTACAAGATACTTACTAAATGAAAATATATTTTAAAACTCTTATTGTTTTAACTGGAGCTGGGTTCACCTGGGGCTGGCTCACCTTGCCCACACATCTCTAGCCAGGGTTCTGCCCAGCTTCCACACACACCCAACTTCCCTCACCTTCCCTCTGTTTCCCAGAGCTGGACACAGACTTGCACTCAGACCCTCACATGTAGACTTTGTGGCAGTTTCAGACCAAGGCCTGCTGTTGTCAGGGCCAGCACAAGGAAACAACTGCATTCTTAGAAAAGGAAGGCAAAGGCTTGGGAACTGATGGCAAAGACCTTTCTCAAATGGCAGCAATAAAACTGCCCTGCAAGGGGTATAGGTCGGCAAGTAATAAAATATTTTAAAATAATAAAATAAAATAATAAAATCATATTATGCATATCTCATAATATATGGAATTTATTCAAATATTATGTGGCTTCTCACCTAACATATTATCAATGTAATTGAAAATACTTGTGTGTACCTCCCTGATACTGTTTATCTGCCTTTCCCCCAAGGTAATACCAATGCTAAATTTATCCTTAAACTATATCATTTAGATTTTATTATTTCTTACATTTATTAAAATTCCATTTATGGTACATAATTTTTTTATCCACAATGTTAACTTTATAAAATATGATATGCTTTAATCTCATCCTCTCCCCTGCTGTGTGTTATTCCATGTGTCAATATACCATAGTTTGTGTAACCATTCAACCAGAGACAGTTTGGGTTATTTTCAGTTTTTATATTGCACACATTACTGCTATGGATTTCCTGAAAGAAATTCTTTTGTGTTAAGTATAATGTTTCTATGTTCACTTTTACAGATGACTGCAGTTTTCCCTAATGCTGTCTTATAAGTTACACTCCTACCCGCAGGGCATAAGACTCCCAATTATCTACATTTTCACCAAAATATGATATTGTAACATGTTTGATATTTTTCCTAATACATGCTAGTAAATTTTTGGCTGACGTTTACAATCTTTGATATGTTATATCCTCATCATTAAATTGAAAATATCTTCTAACTTCTATTGTTATTTATTTTGCCAATGAATTCTTTCGAGGTTATTTGCTTAATTTTCAAACATACAGAAATTATCTGGCTAATTTTAGGTTTTTATTTTCTGGCTAATATTCTTCATGTTCAGAGACATACCTTATGATTATTACTCTTAAAAATTTGTTTATTATTGCTTTATGGAGCAGGGCATGATTGATTTTGAAAAATGATCCATGTGCACTTGAGAAGAATGTATATTTTAGAGCTGTTAGATGCATTCTTCTCCTGTGTCAGTAGGTAACATTTGTTAATGGTGTTGTTTAAATCTTAAATATCTTTATGAAAGTTTTTGGTGAATAGTCTCTCCTTCCTGAGTGTTGAGCTAAAAATCTTCTATTATTGATGATTTATCTATTTGTTTCTTTAGGATAATCTAGTTTTTAATCCTGTCTTAGAGTCTTTTTTTGCCTCATATTAGTAGAGAAACTGCTCTTTTGGTCAGGGTTTATGCAGTTTATTCTACTATTTTTATTTTTAACTTTTTTAGCCTCTTATTTAAGATTTTCTTTGTAAGGCTCTTACTACTGAGTTCTGTTTTATGTAAACAGGTGAAATTTACTCATTGTTTTCATTCCAGAGTAATGAATTACTTTATTTTTATATTTACGATTTTTAAAAATTTTTATTAATACATAATAATTGTACATATTCATGTAGTATATGTTATATTTTGATACAAGCATACAACGTGTAATGATCAAATCAGGGTATTTGGGACATCTATCACCTCAAACAATTATCATTGCTTCATGTTGAGAACATTCAAAAACTTCTATTTTGAAATATAATAAATTATTATTAACTGTAGTTGCCTTATTGCACTGTGAACACTAGAACTTATTCCTTTATATGTAACAGTATTACCCATTAACTAGCACCTCTTCATCATCCCTTCCCACCCCCCCTTACCAAAATCTAGTAACCACCATTCTATTCATTACCTCTATAAGATCAATTTTTTTTAGGTCCCATATATGAGTGTGAATATGCAATATTTGTCATTCTGTGTCTGGTTTGTTTCACTTAAAATTATGGCCTCCAGTTCCATCCATGTTTCTACAAATGACAAAAATTTCCTTCATGGCTACATAATATTCCATTGTGTATATACCACATTTTCTTTATCCATTCATAACACTTAGGCTGATTACATATTTTAGTTATTGTGAGTAATGCTGCAATAAACACAGGAGTGTAAATACCTTTTGAATTTATACCCAGCGGTAGAATTGTTGGGTCATATAGTAGTTCCACCTTTGATTCTTTGAGGAACCTCTATACTGTTTTCCATAGTGGCTATACTAATTTACATTTCCACCAGCCGTGTATGAGCACTCCCGTTTCTCCACATCCTTATCAGCTATATCTGCCATTCTATGTCTTTTCAGTAATAGCCACCTTAACTGGAGTGAAATGATATCTCATTATGGTGTTGATTTCCATTTCCCTTTCCCTGATGATAGTTGATAATGAGCATTTTTTCATGTACTTCTTGGTCATTTTTGTGTCTTCTTTTGAGAAATGTCTATTCAGATCTTTTGCCCATTTTTAACCAGATTATTTTATTTTTTGCTATTGAGTTGTTTGAATAATAAAATTAATCGTAATTATTAAAAAGTCAGAAAACAATATATGTTGGCATGGATGCAGTGAAATGGGAACACTTATACATTATGATAATGTAAACTAGTACAGCCACTATGGAGATTCCTCAGAGAACTTCTAATAAAAGTAGACCTACCCTTCGATCCAACAATCCAATTACTGCTTATCTACCCAAAGGAAAAGAAGTCATTTTATAAAAAAAAGACACCTGCACTTGAATATTTATTACAGCACAATTCAAAATTGCAAATATATGGAACCAACATAAGTGGATAAAGAGATTGTGGCATAGACTACTTGTACCATAGACTACCACTCAGCTATTAAAAGGAGTGGAATAATGTCTTTAGCAGAAACTTGTGTGTAACTGGAGTCCATTACCCTAAGTTAAGTGTCTCAGGAATGAAAAAATAAATACCACAAATTCTCACTAATCTGTGGAAACTAAACAAGAGATATACATGGTCATAAACCAGAGAAATGGACATAGAAAACTAAGGGAGGGATAAAAAGCTAACTATCAGGTACAATGTACACTATTCTGGTGACAGGTAAACTGAAAGCCCTGACTTTAGCATGATTCAATTCATCCATGTAGCAAAAATACTTGTACTCTGTAAATACTTTGAAATAAAAATAATCATATATTTTGATTTGAATTCCCCATCTTCTTATTTGTTTCACATTTATAAATATTGCTTGTAGTTAATATTCATTTTTACTTACTTCCATATTTTCTCTTTCTCACAGTATTCATTATTTCCTGCATTTCTTTTGTACCGCTTCAGAGCTTTTTCCTTTTTCCTGAATATCAGTATTCAGAAGTCTATATAGCATCATTTGCCTGGTTATAAAATCTCTAAGTACTTTTTTAATCTGGTCAGGAAAATCTCTGCATTTTGCCTAAGTTTCTATAAGATTTTAAAATTTATATTTAGTTCTATGTGCACACATATTTTCAGTTAGCACCATGAAGATCTGTTTCCTTCATCTTCTGGTTTTCAGCACTGCTTTTGAAGAAATAGGTTGTCAGTCTTACTATTGCTGTCT